ACGGAAGTCAGGTTGCACCTCTTCCGCTGCTGATGCAGGGGCTCTCGCTTGGGCAGCCTGACACCCTTCTCTGCAGATCCCTGTCTCAGCGCCCCCCACCCCCAGGGGGTGTGTACCTCCCCCTTCCCACCATGCTGGGGACGGGGGGATGAGAGGGTGGGGGAAGATGGTTTTATTCATGGCTCTGGCTGCTCTGTTCCGGGCTCTCCTTCTCTCCTGCCAGTGATTTTATCAGTCTCCTTCATGTGCCTCTCCTCTCCAGGCAGACTTCTGATGATATTTCATTGTTCTCTGAAATTACCTCCGTGAGATTTTACATAAAAATGAGAAACGGGCTCTTACAGCCTCCACGTCGGCTCTCTGCAGTTTTCCCTTCCCTTCCCCTTCGCCACAGTCAACAGAGTCGCCACGCCCCCACTCACAGACCAGTCGCCCCCCCAGGCTTTAGATGGCGGGAGCCTGAGAAGGAGGGGTGCACACAGGCACACACGGATTGTTGGCAGACACTATAGTAAAAAAAAAAAAAATCTGGGATTTTCGCATTAGAATCCATTATTTCTGACTTCTGAAAATGTCAGCATCAGCAGCACCATTCCCACATCTCCACGTAGCAATATCCAGCCTTCACGGAGGGGCGGGCGTCTTCTGGAGAGGGGCGTGCAAGCTTCAGCTCACCACAGACCCCACCGCTCCCTATCGCGTCCCCAGCCCAGCCTGCTCCCGCCACTGACCGGGCTTGCTTGCTCTCTGAAGCAGTCAAGCTTGCACTGAATCTTGATTCAGACTTAAAGTGGATCTGAATTAAATTGTAAGTGCTGAATGGGGTAGCTATTATTGGCAGTAATAACAGTAATATTGAAAGAGTACATTTCCAAGGCTGGATAAAAAGGCTACAGGACCTTTCCCGCATAGGAGTTGTGTAGGAATAGTGATCACTCAACCAAATATTACAAACAGCATCCTCTCTCCTTCCTAATCAGCACTCCTATGTTAGAACATTTCTTAGTAAATTGCATGAAACCCTTACCCATAATAGAAACAGTGCGTGTTGCAGCTAGGTGATTATTATTATTTACCATCAGCACATAATTAGACATAATTTCAATAATTGCCCAAACACAGACTACACGAATACATATTCCTCAGGAATGCACGCATTAAGAGAATCCAAGTCAGGGTGACATCTGTAAGGTCCTGAGGGCACCTTCCTTTTGGGGTGAGGCTAGGGTGAGGTGCAGAGGGGTTCTCGGAAACATGGACAGGCGGGCGTTTGGGTCTTCCTGAGAACGGATTCAGGGCAGTGAGATTCCTCTGCCTCAGGTTCAAGCAACGTGGCTCTGTCCATCAGTGAAGGGGAGTGATAATTCAGCTGCCTTGAACCTGCATTCTACTGAAGTGGTGAGTGTCCTTCTGCTCCAGGGATCTCCCTTTCTTTCCTTCAGTCATTCAGCAGCCACCAAGCAGCGGGTGTGCTGTGGGCGCTGTCCTCGGTGCTGGCGATACAGCCGTGGAAAGCGTCTTGCTGGAGTTTACAGTGCAGCATCCACCTCCTGTTGGCTCTTGGAGAATGAGATCCGCTTTCATGCCACACATACTTGTGGATCACCTGCTATGTGTCCGTCAGGGATCCAGGTGCTAAGTAGTCTGTGGTAGTCAAGCCAGATATGGTCTTCCTCTCTTCCCATTTTAGAGGGGGAGAGAAGACTTGATTCTTAAACAATCCAAGCAAGGAAACTGCAGGTAGTGACAAGTGCTGTGATGAAACCCCAGGTTTGAATCCCAGCTCTGCCACTTTTATGTTTTTGTTTGAGCAGTTTGTTTAACATCTCTGAACCTTAGTTTTCTCTTCTGTAAAGTGGGTGTGAGGATAGCACCTGCCCATCAGGATGGAAGGGATAACTAAATGAAGTATTAAATGTAAAGTATTTAGACAATGCCCAGCACGTATTATGTGCTCAGTAAATATTGATTTTTAAATGAATGAATGATCTGTATCCTACTGGTGCTTCCAAGGTTCCTGCAAGCCTTAGATCCTCCGTGAAGCACTCTGGTTGCCTCTTCCTACCCTCTCCCCCCATCACCCACACTATACACAGTGCCTTTGCTCTTCTAAGAATCAAGCTGGGTATTGTTCATTTATTTTATCTGCTAATTGTCTGTCTCACCAAACTTAACTAAGCTCCTTTAACTCTTTTGCAAAAAAGGATGCACATAATACCCTGCACATAACCCTTGGTAGGTGCTTAATACGTGTTTATTAGCTGACAACATGCACATGAGTTGATTTTCTCTTTCCTGATGCCTAGTCATCTTCTGCAGACAAGGTGAAGGGGAGACTTGTGTGTTGTGATGTCGGGATCGCATTAGGCACTTCTGTAGAGGTGCTGGCACTCGTGTGTGTGAGGCTATTAGGACTGCAGTCCTCAGATTTACAAAGCCTGAATGCAGTAGATAAGCCCCTCCTTTCTTGCATGAAGGAGAAATAAAGGATAATCGCCGGGCTTTCTTCAGCTCCATTTGTGTGTGTGAGGAGCGTCACACTGGCAGTAATTACAGAAAGGGAAGGAGATGGAATAAGTACCAAAGGAAGAATTAGTTGTACTCGACCTAATTAAAATCCTATAGAAAGAATTCTACTCTTATTTGCAAAGGTGATCTAACATAACCTTGAAGCCATTGTATTAACCAATGTACTTTTCAGGGGAATAAATGGCAGAAAGATCATTTGGGAAAGGCAACCCTTCACTTGACTTTCAGAAATTAAACGACCTTGATTTCTGAACCACTTCCTCCCAATGAAATTAGATTGCATTGAACCCTGTCAGTTAACAAGGGGAAGCTAATCAAGCCGAAAGAGGTGCTCACCCAACTGATTCCGTGGCAGGAGGACTTTGGGAAGCTTTCGGGGAAGGGAAAAAGAACAGGGAGGTGGGGGGGGGGGGCTTTGGTCAAAGTTGGCTGAATCTTTCACTTTGTTTAAACACACACACACACACACACACACACACACACACACACACATGCGTGTACACACACACACACTGAAGAAACGTAGCCTTTCTTCCCAGGAGATGTTTATGCTTTATCATGTATCTTACTGGTAGAGAAGGATTTTTCTACAGTCTAGCACAGTTGATAAAATTTTCCAGGCAGATTATCTTCCCAGAGAGAGGCTGCTCCAGACAGGGTATAACAACCGCCACCATAATAATGATCATTTGTATCTTTCCAATTATACTAAGCCCTTTGTACAAAGTATCTCATTCAATCCTCACAATTATTCATAGGAGCTGCTATTATTCTCTCCATTTTGCATATAAGAAAGTCGAGGCTCAGAGATGTTTACATATTGGCCAAAGTAGTGTATCTTAACTAAATAGCAGGGCTGGGGCTAGAATCCAGGTTTGCCAGATTCTGAAAACACCACGGGATATTTTCAACCACATTGGGTGACGTGCTTGCTCACCACCTCATTTATCACAATTTCATGGGTCTTTTGTTCCAACTGGGCCGTGCCACCTATAGGAATGTTTTTCTCGGGCAAGATGTCAGTGGTCCTTTCATCAATTTTGGGGGGGTGCCTTTGTGCCCTGTATCACTGTGGTTTCATAATAGTGATACTTTCTGTAACTTGTACTCTGTGGTTGTTCGTGACTGTTGTTTTCTCACATGCACCTATACATTGGCAGGTGCATGTGAGAAATGCCTTAGGTAGATCAGACCTGAGTTCTGTCCTCATGGACCGATAAATAGCTTATCCATCCGAATACGGGGAATGGAGCTAACAGCTGAGGTGGCCAAGGAGAGAGGACAGTCTAGTGTCGTAACTATGAGTGCAGACCCTGGGCTCTGACTGTCTGAGTTCAATCCTGGTTCCAATACGTTGCTGCTGTGCCACTTTGGGAAAATTACTTAAGCTCTTTGCTGACTCTGTTTCTTCATCTTCAGAATGGAGACTCTTTTCTTCATAGCACTTGCCTTATAAGCGTGCTGTGAAGATTAAATGGGAGAGTGACACAGTTAGCATACAGTATGTGTCTGGCGAATGTCAGTTATTAAGGTACAAAATTTGGTCCCAGGCCATGGGGGGCCCTAAGCTTCTGGAAGAGGAGAGAAGAGGTCAGTTCGTGGGAAGCTGGTTTCAAGAGACTTGTTTGGGGATGAATTGGGTTTGAGCTGATGGAGGGAAAGGAAAGCAGGAGGTAGGAAGTGGGAGGCCGCACAAGCTTTGCAGCATTCTCAGCAGGCGTCTCGGGTTGGTGTTCATGGATGGAGCTCTTGCAGGGAAAGCCTGGGCCAGATGGAAGGAGAAAACGCACTTGGCAGAATCCCTCCACCTTTCCACCCTCCCGACCATTCATCCTTCCCTCTTTCTGTTCTTCTGTCCTTCCACCCTTCCATGCATCCATCCACCCATCCCTTCATCCCAGAGTCTCCCATCCTTCTCAATTTCCACCCATCTTTCTACCTTTCCATATTTCTGTCCCATGCTGTCATTCCATTTCTTTATCCATCTATCCCTTCTAACCACCTCGGCATAGCTTGGTGCTTAAGAGGGCAGAATGTGGAGATGGAAGGCCTGGATTCAAATCCTGTATCGCTTACTGCTTGTGTGACCCTTCCTTGGGCACATGTCTTAACGTCTCCAAGCTCCCATTTCCCCGCTTGTATATTGCAACTGTCTCCTGGAGGCAAAGGGGGATTACTGGAGGGTTTGAGCAAGGCAGTGGTACAGTCATATTTGTGCTTGTGCAAGTTTGCTCTGTCCACCGTGGGGAGGGTGGCATGAAAGGGGAAAGGCCAACAAGAGGGAGGGCAGTGGGAAGGTGTTGAAATAGCCAAGGCAAAAGGTAATGTGAACGTGAACCAAGTCGTGATAGCTGTCACTGTGTGCTTAGAGGGTGTCAGGCACTGTGCCACATGCTTTGCCTGGGTCATTTCCTTAAATCCTCCTAATAACCCTAGGAGTTAGATGCCACTTTGTTATTTCTGTTTTACAGATGTGGAGCATGAGGCTTGAGGAGTTTACGGAACTCACTAGGATCACAACTGCTAAGGAGCTGAGCTTGGATCTGGACGTAGATCATTTGGCTCTGACATAAACCCTGCAGCGCTAGGTGCTTCCTATGCAAGGACGGGAGGATGTTCTTGTAAGAACTGCAAAGGGGCCACTTGCAAAAGGTCAGTAGAGCAAGATGAGTCCACCAACTGGATGCTGGTAAGCCAGCTCCCTGGGGGAAAAGCCTCGGTTTGTAATGTTTGCCAGTTTATATGGTATCAGTACTCCCTCCATGGTTGACTTCAAGTTGCTAATGTGCTACTGCCGAATGGAAGGTGGGAAGAGACAGTGGGAAGTGGGAGAGAGGAAAGGCCAAGGATGCCTCGGGAGTTTTCAACAGGTGGTAGGCAGGCGTGGTTAACCGTGGTGGGGGCTTTCTCATTTTCCTTGGATCAAACGCAGCTTTAAGAATCCCCTGAAAACTGGAAAACTGTTTCCACAGGAAATTTCTTGTTGCCATCAAATTCTGGAAGCACTTCAAGGCTTTTACGATTGTACTGAAGCTTTTATGCTTCATAAAGATTAAAGCAAAAAAAAACAAACAAAAAAAAAAACCAGAAACAAATTGAAACAAAACAAAATCCTACTGGCATTTAATAAATACGTCAACAATAAGGATCTGTTCGGTGCACAGTAAGAACATACCGAGCACGCGCATTTGTGGCTTGGCTGGGGAGCTCCACTCCAGGTGTCTCTCATGCTCGGCCTGGGGGCAGCAGGCCAGCCCAGGCCTGGGCCCGTGGCAGTGGCAGAAACACAAAATGGTAAACGGAAACAGTCAAGCCCTCTTACACTCTAGGCTTATTGCTGGCACCATGTCACTTCCTCATTCTATAGGCCAAAGTAAGTCACATATTCAAACCCAAAGTCAATGGGCAGAGAAATATATTCTGTCCTTGTAGTGGAAGTGGACTGAAAATCACATGGCAAAGAACATGGATACAAGGAGGTGTGGGGAAATTGAGGCCAGTGACACACTCTTACCACAGGGATGTCCATCCAGGTGAGCAGAATGTACTCTCTGCCCAAGGATAGTCAGGGCATCATCATTTCTAGCCCAAGGCTTGTCTTTAGTTTTTGCCTCACCTATTTTTATCCTTTGCCTTGGTAAGGAGAGGAAGAAGACGACGTAGAGGCCTGGGCCTCCTTGCTTTCCTCCTCTGCTCTTGGGAAGGCTGGTTTTGTCCCAGAGTTTAGAGACCCGATCATTACATCACCACTCCTTTGCCATTTTGACAAGCCAAGCGACTTTCTACCCACTCAGGGTTTTGAGCAAGCGAGCATGCCCTTCAAAAAGGTGCTGCAGATGCAATTTTCCCTAATACATCTTAAAATTAGTGCCTTTTTTTTAAACAAATAGGCCTTATTTATACCATGCACAACAACAACAACAACAAAAAGGGAAGATAATTAGACATACACACTGCAATCAAGCATATTGGGTTTGTTGGAATCATTAAACTTAATTACTTTCACTTGTTATTCCTGGGGGCTATAATATCAGTATTAAATGCCAGTGGAATCTGCAGTATGTTTGATTTAGCTGAAACAAGGACTTGGTAATTTACTGCCTCTCTGAGAGATTTTTATCGAGGTGAGGAATATGCTGAGTACCTCTTCGTGCTTTTCGTGGGGCCTGCTAGACAACTGCTTTGCTGAGAGACTGGAGTGTTGTCTTATGCAACAGGTCTTGGTCCTCTGAGAGATGCTGTCCTTGACGATGCCTGCCCATCTCCAGGGAGAATTGACCACACGTGCCACCCACAGTGTTAAGCCTTTACACTTGGCATATCTTCCTTAATCCTCACGATTATACCAGTTTGCAGAAGAGGAAACTGAGGGTCCCCGAGGTAGAGTGATTTACCTAAGGTCAAAGAGCATCTAAGAGGCAGGTCCAGGAATTTGGCTAATGGGGAAGTTTTCTGAGTCCAGGATGGGTGTTATCCCTTCACTTGTGGTTCTCCAAATCTTCGTGTTGGTTTCTCCTCCCCACTTTTCTTTCATTTCTTCTTGATTAGTCTTATAAACTGTCCCAAACTCAAGTTCTATTAAAAGCCAACATTTATAAATATTTTCCATGTACCTGCCACTGTACTGGAGTTTAAAATACTTCATCTCCCATAATCCCTCCAACAACCCTATGCTATACATATGCACATTGTAGGTGGTGGTTGTTACTATTATACATCGATACATCTATGTGTCAGACTGACATCAGCATTTGTATTACTTAGGAGTGTGTTCGGCTGTAGGTAATAATTGACCATGGTGGTTTCGCCCAATCTTTATTTACTTATTTATTTTCTCACATAACAACAAATCCAGAGCAGCAGTGCAGCTTGTTACACCTGTTCGTGATGCCATTAGAAACACACGCTCCTTCTATTTCCAGCATAGTCATCTTTAGAGGTTGGCTCTAAAAGAAAATTCTTCATGGTTGCAAAAAGGTTGCTCCACCTCCAGCCATTACATGTGTCTTCAATAGAGGAAAAAAGGAGAAGGGTGGAAGGCAGGAGGAACAAGCCTCCTCCTCTGTAGACCCCACCTTGTTATCTGTGCAGGGTCGCCCCTCCTTGAGGGCCACTGCCAACATCTCACTGGACAGAAGTGTCCCACGGCCACTCCTTGACCAAGGGAGCCTGGGAAGGGCATTTTATTTTAGTTGCACAGGTGGATGCCATGAACACAAACAGGGCTCTATGGTAAAGAAAAGAGGAGAATGGATATGGGCATGTGGGTACAGGGGGAGAACCAGCCGTGTCTGGCACCCACATGGAGGGCACAGCCACATCAACAGGCTTTGCTGATCGAAATGCAAGTGAAGGTGTTCAAGGTATTTTCCCCTTGAAGAGCTTCATTTCACTCCCTGTTATTTCCTTTAATCCTCACGCAACCTTTTGAGGCATTTAGTCCGTTTTCATTCTCAGGTGCCCTCAAAGAACCTTTTCCCAGGCGTTTTGTTCAGCCAGAAAGGAGGAGCAGGCAGGAGGGAAGGGCTGTCTCTGCCGGGGACGGACCTGAGCAGGGCTCGCGTCTCCCCCAGCAAGCAGGGCCGGTGGGCTGGAGGGAGCCGTTGGGACTGGGAATGGGGATGGAGGATGGGTGGAGATTTAATTATGCAATTAACTAGGCTTGGAGTCGGACCTCTCCACAAGCTCCTAATTAATTGATCAGATGCACCACCTGCAGACCAGCTCGCCTGCACAGGCTCCCAGAATGCACCGGGTGTGCAGGAGGGAGCATGGGGTCTGCTCGGGCTTGGGGAGCCGGGGAGCTCCCCGTTAAGTGGGTGTGCAGTCAGTTACCGTATGCCCCCCCCCCCCGGGGCCTCTGAGCATGCTTAGAAATGATCCATTAGGGCCGAGAGAGGCGGGCTGTGAGGAAGAGAGGGCTGCCTCGGCTTACCGACTGTGTGTGTGTATTGGGGGCACTTGGCGGTCAGGGGTGGTTCCAACGGCCTTTGCAGCACAGACACATCCGTATTCCGGGGCAATGGGCTAGGAAAGCAGCAGCAGCAACGGAATCTGGCCCTGCCCGCTCAGTAAGGATAACTGACATGTGATGGGTGAGGAGGGTTTTGCTTGGTTTTATTTTTAAAGATTTTTTGATATAAAAATTGTGTATAATAATAACATCTAATAGCGTTTCTTTCCTTTCTTTCTTTTTTTCTTTTTACCAAAAGAAAGTTCATTTATTACTTTGAAAGTACTGTTGTTTAGTCCCACAACAGAAAATGCAGACTTTCTGGAATCTTCTTCTGGATTGCCACTATATTGTGGGCTTTTAAAATTCATTTCCTTTTCTTTTTTTTCTTTTTTCCAGCATATTATGGGGGCACCGATGTTAAGGTTACGTATATTTCTCTTGCCCCCTCTCCCCCATTGAGTCAAAGCTTCAAGCGTGTCCATCCCCCTGCTCATTTCTTGAGTGATTACCATGAATGAGACGCTGTGCTCAATGCCGGACCTACATGGTCTCACTGAATGCTCACAATGGCTTGAGAGAAAGTTAACGCCCCCTGTGTCAGAAGGGGAATGTGAGGCTCAGAGAGGTGAAGGGACTTGCTCAGGCCACACAGCTAAGAAGTGGAGGGGTAAGAATCGGAACCAAGCTTCGTCTGACTCTAGAGCCTGTACCTCTAAACTCTCATCATTCTATCTCCAACTCATGCCATTTTAGGAAAACGGGATAATGGTGAACGTTAGAAAGCAGGTAATCATCCATAATCCCGACGCTGAGGGGGGCAGTCGGCACAAGGTAGACTAATCTTTACCTCCCACTATCTTCTTAGCTTCCAGCCCCATTTTCATTTCCCTTTCATCCACCCCACTGCCTTTTACTATCACCAGAGCCGTTGAAACCAAGGGTAGAGAGCTGACTCACGATGGGCCAGTTGCATCTGCCTCTCCCAAATTTAGAGTGGAGTCTCGGGGACTGAGTCAGCTGGTTGGGGGGAGGCAGGGTTGCTGCACTGCAAAGACGCTGGACCCGCTGTGAGGGGTCCGCACGCGGAGTTGCCACTGGGGCTTCCGTGATGGGTCTTGTGGGGATGGATGCACGAACAAAGAGGCTGGTCTGCGGGGCGCCGAGGAGGAAGCAGATGGGGTGAGGAGCAGATTTGGGAGAGCACGTGGTCCTGATGAAGCGCCAGGTGAGTGAGTACCCGGAAGATTACACCTCCCGAGGCCGGCATGTGTACAACTAACCCTCTCTTAATTTAAGCTTCCTCGAGTGAGTTTCTCTTCCTGGTAACCATATGATCCCTGATCAAAGTACAGCTGCTGTTGACATCTTGCGGTGTTTTCTTCTAGTCTTCCTTCTTTTTCCCTCCCTTTTCTTTCCTTGCGTTTTTGTCTGTAACCTCCGATGCAGAGAGCTGAATTACTCATACTTCCCGGACCACAGCGCAGGATCATCATCATTGGTTTATGCAACATCCCTCTCATTTTGTTTATTTCCCCCGCCCCTGTACATCCCTGGTCTCTGTTCCTAACCCCCTTCCACCCTAAGCACCCACTCTAATGTTTTTGATATATGTCCCTAATGCATGATTACTTGTAAAATACGTAGTTCTGTTTTCTACAAGTATGTGATTTTAGCATATTCAAATGATGGTGTGCGA